GTCTTCCGTTTTCTTGACTTCTTCCAAAAAAAAAAAAAAAAAAACACAATCTTGCCAATAAGATTACTCTAAATAATTAACAAAAGTCATCTCAAGGCTTCCAAAGATATATAAATACAAATAATAACAAACGGAATTACTTTCCTGTTTTCTTTATGTACTTCGTCATGAAAGAAAGTGCTCCAAACGAATAAAATGTTCATTCTACACCTTAATTATTCACAACTGATCCTCCCTAAAAGTTTCCATGAAAAACTACTCATGTTTGAGACAACTTCCGGTTTTTCGGTTTGCACTTCCGGTGATAATAAATTGCATGGTTATGGTTTATCTAACATGCGCATTAGCCAAACATTTTTGTAAAAAGAAAAAAAACTGTAACAATTCACTTTTCTGCATCGCTTCCTGTCACGACCGGAAGTGACGGCAACGTACGATTTTTACATGATATAGATAAACTGAGGACTGACTATCAGTTCTGAAAGTTTTAGACTTCAGCAATGTACTGTTTCTGAGCAATTTGGTAAACAAAATCTCAATTTGAGGACAGAAAAACACGCGACCGGAAGTGCATTTTCCTAAGATGATTAACGTCACACTAGACAATTGCAATCTCAATAACATATATAAAAATCTTTTCAAAAAACTTTATCTATAAGCGATACTTTTGGGAAAGATAAAAATCCCAATTACATAGTTTTCTCTTATAACCGGAAGTTGTCGTTTTTTGTTTCCAATGAGACCAACACATATAGAAACTGTGAAAGAGATTCAATTATATGATGCAAGTTTTATTTCAAAAGAGAAAAGTTGAAATTTTTTATTTCTTTGATCACTTCCTGTGACGACCGGAAGTGACGGCTGACGCTATTAACCCAAATGGTTTTGCCTACTCCTTAAGTTCTATTACTCCTATAAGTTTGGTGTCTTAATCTCTTACTGTTTTTGAGATCTCACTTGCACAAATTCTTATTTTGCGGACAGTAAAACACGCGACCGGAAGTGAATTTTACCAAGATATTTGACGTTACTCTAGACATTTGCAGTCTAAAAAATATATTAAAAACCATTTCAAACACTTAATCTATAAGAGATATTTATGGGAAAGTAAAATGCTCAAATTATGTAGTTTTTCGCTTATAACCGGAAGTTGACGTTTTTGTTTCCGGTGGGACCAACATATTTCAAAACTGCGAAACAAATACAATAATGCCATGGAAGATTAAATCCAAAAAAGAAAAGTTGAAATTTTTGATTTCTTTGATCACTTCCTGTGACGACCAGAAGTGACGGCTGACAAATTTAAACATATTCTGCAAACATACTTGTTATGATCTATAATCCCTGAAAGTTTGAGGTCTTAATCTTTTACCGTTTCTGAGATATCGTCCGGACATGATCTCTTTTGAAAAAACGGAAATTGGACATATCTGACGACCGGAAGCGAATTTTGCAAAATCCTTAAAAATGTTTTTAGTTTATTTTATTTTTCATAATTCCTGAAAGTTTCAAGAAAATCCATAGAGCCATCTCTGAGAAATCGCTTGGACAAAAAACGGGAAAAAAATAATAATAATAATAAACAGTAGAATCACTATAAGGTCTTCCGTCTGAAACGGAAGACCTTAAAAATAATAATAATAATAAGAAACAGAGTAAAAACAATATGTTCCCCAACTTCGTTTGGGGAACATAATAATAAGAAACAGAGTAAAAACAATATGTTCCCAAACTTCGTTTGGGGAACATAATAACTAGAAACTCATTGCGAGCAATGAGAGGTCTTCCGTCCGATTCTGAAAAAAAAAAGAAAAAAGAAAACTCAAGCTGAAAAAGTGATAAAAGAAATTCAGACACTCTCGAGATTTAACCCTGGTCGTCAGCCTGAAAATCCAACGTGCTAACCATTAACCTTTCCCTTTTTTGCATCTCTTCCTGTCACGATCGGAAGTAACGGCGATACAAGATTTTGTCACGATTCAAATAAACTGATGACTGACTATCAGTCCTGAAAGTTTTAGACTTCAGTCGTTTACTGTTGTCGAGCAATAGACCGGAAGTTGACGATTATTTCCGGTGGAATCTAACATATTTTAAAACAGCGAAAGAGATGCAATAAAGTGATGCAAGTTTTAGTTTAAAAAAGAAAGAAGAGAAATAACATGAGCGCATCCTCTGATCTAAAACGATAAAGCAGGTTTTGTAATCCTCAGAAATAGTTCTATCATTTAATAGTTGCATATTTAAGATCAGAGGTTACGTCCTATATTAAATATCGATATCGAAAAATAGCTTTAAAAATTGTTGTTTTGTAGAAATTTTCAGGATATGAGGAAAATGACGCATTTCATGACGTCTTAATGCATAGGCTAGCCAGAAAATTACGTCATTTTTGATAGATACGCAGTCATCAAAGGTCTAAATGATATTTAATGCATTGTCAACTAAAGCCAAGCAGTTTCAGTTTTTCTGAAATTCACAGGGCCAAGAAAGGTCCTAAGTGAACCTTGTTCTTTAATATTGAAACCACTACACTAGCGCAATGTACCAGCCATTATCGATGTTTACCTTGCACTCATTCTCTGAAGTAACGAGTGTCAGGCAGGTTAATTTTTTTTTCTTATAGTGCGGAATTATAGGATGAAAACTAGCCAGCTAAATTTTGTGCAAGTGCTATAGTAGATTTACATCGGATTTGTTACTTGAGTTTTAACAATAACTGATAGCAGGAAATAATCTGTTACTGATAAAAACTAAAAAAAAAAACTATTGTGTTTACTTCCTTTATTCTTTATGCATTCAGCTTTCTATTCTATGCAATACCAAATACAGACATGTCCGTGTAATCTTTTTCTATACTTCTACACTACTGCATCAGACCATTTGTGAAAGGCGGGCCAAGATACATTATCTCGCGCCAAACGTCACGAGTAAATCTTCACACCTTTTCTTTGAAATGTGTCTTCAATTGAATAAGTGTACGTGATAACTTCAATGAAATTTAAAAAAAAAAAAATGTTGCTATAGCCTGATTTTCAAGCCTAAGAATGTTTATTTATCACACTCTACATATAACATATCGTATACGGGCAAGTAACATAAAGGCAGCGCTAAGTTTTCTTACACATTTTATATTCCTCTTAACCCCCAAAGTGGACTATTCCAATTAGTAACACATTAATGAAAAGTCTTGAATGTTTTGCAACAAAACACGTCTCGCCATATGACGCTCAAGGATTCTGATACCTGTTATGTTCCGTAACTTGCATCTATAAAGGAATATAACCCTACTAAAATCAAAGAAAAATATTGAAAAACATATAAGTTGAAAAAATTGACTTTTTTAATTCGCTTCCGGTAGCGACCGGAAGTACTCACGACGCACGAAAAGGCAAACCCGCACATCTAGAAGTCATGTTCCATGCTCTCCAACATTTCTCCAATTCATATCTTTAGCCGTTCTTCAGATCTCGTGCGGATAAAATTTCATTTCAAAATCAGAAAATGTCCATAACTTGGAACCGGAAACGAATTTTTCCAAAATTCTTTCAAATGTAACAATGGCATTTTATAGCGCATTATCCCTGAAAGTTTGATGGAAAACCATTGAAGAGTTCTCGAGATATTGCGTGCACAAGATTTGTTTAAAAAATCTATTTTTGAAATGTATTCTAGTAGACAATTTTAAAAACAAATTATATGTTAAGCATTACAATAAGAGTCTCTATTAACCCTATTAAAATCAAAGAAAAATATTGAAAAACGTAAAAGTTGAAAAAATTGACTTTTTAAATTCGCTTCCGGTAGCGACCGGAAGTACTCACGACGCACGAAAAGGCAAACCCGCATATCTAGAAGTCATGTTCTATGCTCTCCAACAAGTCTCCAGTTCATATCTTAAGCCGTTCTTTAGATCTCGCGCGGATAAAATGTCATTTCAAAATCAGAAAAATATCCATAACTTGGAACCGGAAGCGAATTTCTCCGAAATTCTTTCAAATGTAACAATGGCATTTTAAAGCGCATTATCCCTGAAAGTTTGATGAAAAACCATTGAATAGTTCTCGAGATATTGCGTGCACAAAATTTGTCTAAAAAATAATAATAATAATAATAATAATAATAATAATAAGAAACAGTAGAATCACTATAAGGTCTTCCGTGAAGACGGAAGACCTTAATAAGAAACAGAGTAAAAACAATATGTTCCCCAACTTCGTTTGGGGAACATAAATATGTACCCTCGACCACAGCGATGTAATATTGGATTTGAGACCAGAGAGCAAATGTTCTGTAAAAGATTTGCAAAATTTTAAACTTTTAGAAATAATGCCCATTTTTAGTTTCATGGCAGTATTTAAACACCAAAATTTAGGAGAGACACATGTATGATCAAATAGTTTGAAATACAATTTGAGAGAAAAAATGCATTTAAAATAGAATTCCTTTTTGTAAAGAACTATGGATACATTTAAAATTTGTCCAGCCGATCACATAGTACCATTCCCCCCCCCCCCCCCCCAGGAATTAGTTTTACCAGGTGAAAAGAATAAGATTTTTATGCTTCAAAAATTTAGTTAGACGTTTACTGAGAAAAATGAGATTTAATTTTTTTTTTTTGATACTTCGTATGTGTCCATGGAACTGGTCGTCATTTTGAAGAAGGGACACTTGTAACAATATGTGGTCCCCTTTCTCCTCATACATAGAACAGCTATGATATTTTATGAGGAGGATTGGCTCTGAGGGAAATCGCACTCTATAACTCTTACGCAGAGTAGGATCCCCCCCCCCCGGAAAATTGAATCTGGTGTGGGATTTTCGTAGGGGAAATCCTGCTCTAGAGTCATTTTTCCGTGGGAGAAATCCTACTCTAGAGCCTATTTTCTGGGGATGGGTGGTTGAGATTTTAGAGGGGAAAGCCTACTCTACAAGACCGGTATCATATGAATTGTTCATTTAGTAACAAGTGTTTTTACCTTTTTGTTGCATTCTCCTAGACCCTCTTTCTTAAGTAAGATCAAGGACCCCTTGCTGAGGGACTTTGGCTGGGATCTCTGTCGAATTTGGAAAGATCTTGGACGTAAGGTTTGTTCCTTGCTGTAAATTTTGTATTTACCTCGAGCTGGTGATTTTGAGAGCTTCTCGGCCCTCGTTATTGTAAAAGTATACATTTAACTGGTAATAATTTAACTGCACAGTCTTAAGTGTGAAATGCGTGTACATAAAAAACCAAAGTATAAATGCCAGTAATTCGCTAAGCGCAAAAAAAGCAAACGTCTTGAAGTTCAGGATATCGGCGCAAGATGCCCACTTAAATATATGATTTGGTTTTAGATAAAACCCGATGTTGAACTAAACCAAGATAACTACTCCTTGATATATCTGCCAAACCCCTTTATCGTCCCAGGAGGAAGGTTCAGGGAAACCTATTACTGGTGAGTAAGGACTCATTTTTTTTTATTTTTTGGAGTCCATGTAGGATAAATCAACGTATTCATTTTCTTTCAAGAAGAGTCAAGTGGACAGCTGATCAAAGTCTAATTTTTAGTCGTTAGTTCAAAGATTTTTTTTATGTTTCACTTTTTCTTTTAACATATCACTGGTGGTCTGCAGGGATACTTACTGGGTAATAAAGGGCCTTCTATTGTGTGAAATGACAGACACTGTCAAAGGCATGCTAGAAAACTTTCTACTGATGATTAAAAAGTGAGTGTAACAAAAAGTGGGGTCAATAGAAGTGTATATTTTGTTTCATCTTTGAACGACTAAAATATGAGACATAATGAGATATATCTGATTTCAATGTTAGTTGTGTAAAAAGTTGTAACATGGCTTAAAAGAATATCCTGTACATGGCGATTTTAGAAAATGAATGAATAATGAAAATATTTTTTCTTAAATAAAGTATTATGTGCTAATTTTCTGGAATAACGTACGATTTGTATCATTAAATTTGTAAAAGATTAGACAACGTCTATTCTGAATTCATCGAATTGATGACCTACAGTACAGGCCACGAGTTTTCCCCGAAAAACACGGGGCCCCGTGGACCGCAAGTCCACGCTTTTGCGTGGACCTCGATTAATGTCGGCGTCTTTGAAGTTAGGATGGCTGCGCACCGTGTAACACGGTGTGTACGCGCGGTGTATCACAGTGTCCCATTACGATATCACGCAGAACTTAAAAAAAGTATTCATTGTCGTTGTTTAATCAATTATATCAATTTCCTTTGAAATAATTTTTTTTTTACTTTTTTCTTAAATATTAGTTCCTCGTTATCGATATACAGATATTTGAACAAATAAGATGCCCTAAAATCTAAGATCCACGTGCTCGTGCCCAGCACCGAAAAGGCAAAGTCTTCAAATGTGTACACACATCCATGTAAGTCGTGTTTCAAAACCTAGTTATACGAGAGAAAAAATATGTTCGGTAAACTATTATAACGCTTAGAAGGAATAGTGATTACACTTTCGTAAATAAATTACCTGGTTGTCTTTTCTTTCGATTATAGCTGTGTTCATTTTAATTACAGTCATTTTCATCTATTTTTTTTTTTACTTTTTTCTTAAATATTAGTTCCTCGTTATCGATATACAGATATTTGAACAAATAAGATGCCCTAAAATCTAAGATCCACGTGCTCGTGCCCAGCACCGAAAAGGCAAAGTCTTCAAATGTGTACACGCATCCATGTAAGTCGTGTTTCAAAACCTAGTTATACGAGAGAAAAAAATATGTTCGGTAAACTATTATAACGCTTAGAAGGAATAGTGATTACACTTTCGTAAATAAATTACCTGGTTGTCTTTTCTTTCGATTATAGCTGTGTTCATTTTAATTACAGTCATTTTCATCTATTTTTCGGCACGTATGCATTCATATGTGGTATTTATCAGATGCATATTTTATTTTATAAATCATTTCTACATAAAGAGAATTTTAAAAAAAAAAATACCTAAAATAAAATTTAAAACGTGTCAGATACAAGCACATAATTCATAAACTCTTTGATAATTTAAGGATTATTGCAGTCTGTAATGTTGTAAAATATGGAGGTAAATATATATCACACACACAAAAAGTCGAGTTTTGGTATACTGTACATATATTACCTTATCCTGAAATTATTTAATGAAAAATGTGTCGAACGGCTTGCGAAAAAAAAAAAATCAATTACATGTAGCGAATGTAGTTCGGGGATGTACATGCATAGAATAAAGCTTCTCTTATGATCAAAGTCTTTGTAAAGTTATTATCATGGTTTTAGAGAAAAAAAAAATATAGTTACATGTAGTAAAATCCCTGGCCTCTTTCAAGCTATTACGTTCGTTACCCCCCCCCCCCTTCTAAATTAATCGAGAGTCTGCAGATTTTTTTTTATGTTACGTTATTTTGAAATAAAACAACCATAATCTAACAGGTTACATGTTTATATGTGTCTGAAAAGGAATAATTTACAAAGTAAGTTTGTAATCAAGCCAAAGTACACGTGTGGTGGCGTAGATGAATTTCGCTGAAAGTCAGTTTAGTGAGTTATACACTTGATGTGGTCAAAGACGAAAGGTGTGGTAAACACACAGCGCCCCCGGCCCTCCGGCTCTGTCCCAATATATTTTTAAGAAAGGTGTGAACTCGGAACTGACCATAAGAATGTTTCAAATCACAAGACTTTCCGTGTAAATAGACTTTCTGGGCCATCTAGCGTCGTGCGATTTTGATTGACAGGTGTAGCACGAGGATTTCGTGTGTAACCAAGAACAACATGTTGCAACTGGGTTGACTATGAAACAATGTTGCAGAATTTAAATAGTATTATAGAATGGTTAATTGTGACTTTGGTAATGTAAATAAAACGAAGAATTAATATTATTATTTTTTTTTAACAGATTTATGTGAAAGGGGGTTAAAAGAATCTCTCTCTCTTTCTCTCTCTCTGAATTTTTTTTTTTACACACTTTTCAATTAAAGAAAAACTTATAAAATACTTACACTGAAAGGGTTTTAAAACATAAATACTAGTTTATAAAAAGAAAAAAAAACGTCGGTAGAAATACGCGTCGGCATTATTAAACGAAGAATTAAATGATTTTTTTTTCTTCAGACTTATGTGAAATGAAAGGGGGTTAAGAGCATCTCTCTCTCTCTCCTTCATCTCTCTGACATTGTTTCTTTACATAATTAAGGAAAAAACATATTAAATTCTTACACTGAAAGGATTTCTAAAACAGAATTTATACTTACTAGTTTATGTAAAGAATTTATTCTGTTACGAAAAATACGCACATTATTGTACACAGGAATTTTGCTCTCGATTCTCGCTTATAAATTCAGAATAATATAAGATTTACAAAATAAATGTGCACTACACAAGAATATAAATGCTTGGTTTGTACACTAAAACAAATACATGCAGCTCGGATCGTATAACACATGTAACACTGATCATGCCATTTCTTCGTTACGTGATTACGTGGGATTAAATTCTTCAGACATTAAAAATTTCAATCCAAGTAATAATTTTAAAAAGCAACTAAACAACTTTACAAAATATGAACTTCTGGGCGAACGGTAAATTGAACTCCATTTAATTTTTCTGTTACTGATATTTAATCCTGTTACATGTATCATTAGTACAATTCAGAACACGTAATGTCTTCTAGATTAGAAAACGATAATTATACACTACATATAAATCAATGTGCTAATTGTTTTAAAATCTTAAAATATTTTATCAGAACAAAATTATTTTTCTCTGTAATGTTATGGACACGGTGCGGCACGGAGGGAATTTTTTGGGCACGGTGCGACACGGGGTGCATTAGCAGGGATTTTTCTAGACACGGTGCGGCACGGTGTGCCTACCTGTGTATTTCAAATCCACACACACCGTGCTACACCGTGTACACGGTGTAACACAGAGCATTTCACACGGTGTGTTTTCCACCGTGCGACGGGGAAAACTCGTGGCCTGTACTGTAGATCCTTTAATTGTAATGGTAGATTTGGTCTTATCCCTAATGGAGCTAGGATTTACTATACAAGGCGGTCACAACCTCCTCTGTTTATTTCTATGATGTACGACTACTACAAAGCCACAGAAAATTTGACCTTCATACAGAACAATTTACAATCTATGGAGACCGAGTACAATTTCTGGATGACAAACAGGTCCTTCACTATTCAGAGTGGTACCGTTAATTATACACTGAACAGATACGCATCACCCGTCAATTCCCCAAGGTAAACACAATTCTCCTAACCTTCATTTCAGTTTCCTTGATTTAAAATTGGTACTTTGGCAATATACTTTCATCATATTACTTCTATAATATTTCTTTGTTTTCCTAACAGACCGGAGTCTTACGCAGAAGATGTTGAGACTGCTTCACGTGTCAAAGGTAAAATTTAATGATAAATTGATTAAAACTACAACCTCTAACTGAGTTATGCTGATATTTTAACCAATGTGATGTGGTGTTTGGGGGGGGGGGTTGTACATGTAAATAATTTCCTCTTAATACTTTATTTCAGATCCAGTCTCCAAAGCCAAATTGTACCAAAATCTCGTTTCCGCTGCCGAATCTGGCTGGGACTTCTCCTCTCGTTGGTTCTCGCGAGAATCCGGAGTCAATTTGACCCTTGACACAATTCGGACAACTGATATTTTACCCGTGGACTTGAATAGCATCCTGTGTATGAGTGAAAACATTTTGTCCCAGTTCTTCAATCTTACAGGTACTAGAAGTTAAAATCACTGTAACATAAAATTTATTAGTCTATGTGAACAACTGCCATATTATTTTTAATTTGTCAAACCATTAGTAATCCCTCTGTCAATTACGTGCGCGAATTACATCAATGAACACTCTTCAGTGAAATATTGCACGAAATGTTTTCAAAAATGTATCAGATGCTTTAGAAAAGTGTTGGTTTCTTCAATTTTATAAGTGTTTGAATGCATGTAAGACCATTTACCGGTATTAAAATTACAGAGGCACATATATGTATTTTTAAATCTTATTAATATTTTTAGGCAATAAAGAAAAGTCAAATGAATATAAACTTAAAATGTTGCAAAGACAGAAAGCTATTGGGGCATTATTATGGAATCCAGACAAGGGGATATGGCAGGACTTTGACATTACTAAGAAATCTCATCGTGATTATTTCTACGCCTCGAATGTGTTTCCTCTGTTTGCAAATTGTGCTGATGGAGACCGTAAGCAAACAGAGGACTCAGTTCTCAGTTATTTACAGGTACAACACTGAATTTTCTGTACCAATAGTTGTCCTTTTAGGCGTAAAACAAAAAAATCTAAGTTTTTTGCGTTATAATTACTAGTATTTTTATACACCATCTGACCTTTTTTCCAGCAAAGGGTCCATTTTCATGAAATGCTAGCTAGCTTCGTGTACAAGTCATCAAAATTCTTTTTTTTTTCAAATAGAAATTGAAAATATTAAATTCTAAAGGAGGATTTCCAACTTCTCTCGATACAACTGGTCAACAATGGGATCTCCCCAATGGCTGGGCACCATTACAACACACTGCAATCTGGGGGATGTCAAATAGTCAAAATCGAAAAATGCAGGCGGATGCTTACGATCTGGCCAAAAAATGGATAAACAATAATTGGCTAGCTTGGAATCAAAGCAGGAACATGTACGAAAAGGTGTGCCAAAATTTTACTTTATCAGTAATGTCAGGTTGGACAATCATGGTAGTATTGGCTTTCAGAAAAAAAAAAAACATTTATTGTATTAAACATTTATAATACATATAAGTTTAGGAATAAATATCGTATGGACACTTGTTGATAATTTTTGAACTATTTTTTGGTTCAGTACTCCACATTGATCCCAGGAAAAGGGGGTTCTGGTGGCGAATACACAGTACAGGTACCGTCTTTTTTAAAGTTTACTGTATTCACCCTCAAATGTGGGTTTAAGTTTGTACAACATAAAGTAAGAAAAAGAAATTTGACATTCAAGAGAACATTTTCTCAAATGCTATTTTAATTTAAAAAAAAGATACCCTCTATAAATCAATCCGAGTTTAACACTAACCTATTTAAATATGTTAAAAAAGTAGAAGCAGAAATTAAAGAATACCATCATAGCATAGTGTGAAGTCGGAGATGATATTTTTTTTCCCACAAATTTACATCAATATGTATGATGCTAATAATATTTGGACTATTTTTAGGAAGGATTCGGCTGGTCAAACGGTGTGGTGTTAGATATACTGAATACTTACGGAGACAGGCTGATGTTGGATCAATCTCCCTGTCAGACATCCGGAACAAATAGAGGACCGGAACAAATTTACAGTTTGGTTTTCTTTGTTATATATAGTTATAAAACTTATTGAACAAAGTGAAGATGTTTGAAGGCGTTATTATTTAAAAATACTAATGCTATCCTTTACAACAGTGTCAGCAGTTATTGGGACTAAAAAAAAAAAATAAGTTACTAGACAATAAACATTCTAAGAACATATCTTTTAAATATTTCTACTTGCTTTTCACAAAGGAAACTGCCCAATAAAGAATTACTCTCCTTACGGTCGTAGTATTAAAGTTGAATATTTAAAGAATTTGAACTCGTCAAAGTCAAATATCAACATCCTAGTAATTTGTTTGAGAACTGCATTCTATAAAGAAAATATGCAAGAAATTGAGCCTTAATTTTTTGTAATCTCATCCAAAACAACTTGGACTGTTGAAATGTTTAGATACTCCATTCGTGTCCGTGAGCAAGACACAAAAGAGAGAGAACGGGATAAAAGACAAAGAAAAGAGTGAAAAAATAAACATGCATCATAAATTTATGTCTGATAATAGTATACATTTGTTTCAGGAAAAAAAGCGTTGTGTCAAGAATTTAACATTTGATTCATTTGTTTTGTTTGTATTTGCATATACATGTATTTTCTGATAGTGAATCACATGTTCCACCAAAAAATCAATTCAAAGTACTATAATAATTCGTGTTATGAGTTTACTGTCAGTGTGAAAGGCATTTTGAAAGATCTTGCGAGTTGAAATCCACTTGTCATTCACTTTGAGCAGTCCGTGAAGAGATGTAAATCACAGGTGGAGAACCAGAAAGCTATAGACATATAGACTACACATGTACATGTAAGTAAATATGTCCCTGAGAAATAGGGAACACTACATTTTGTACATGCTGTTTACTTTTTAACTACACTGAACATATGCAATTTTTCTCACACATCTTTACCACTGGTATATCTTAATTTCTAAAAAAAAATATATTGTCAACAATGCAAAGAATAAGTTTCTTAAAATTTATTTGATCATACACAAATAGCCCAGTCATTCTTCTGATTTCTACAGGTAACACATTAGTTTGAAGAAAGAAAAATATCTTAGGATTTAAATATCTGAAGCTAAAGAAAAAAAAGTTTTCAATATATGAAATTTAAATGAACAGAACTAATTTGATGAAACACATTTGGTGCACAGGACACGTTTGCAGTACTATGCATGGATGTACAAATACATGTAGGTGCGTGAAACTTTATTGTCTGAAACAAGCAGATTTTTTTGTTTGAATAATCTTGATATATTATCCCACCTCCAATCTCCAGAAATTTCCAATTTATACTTATCTCTCAAATACTTAGCTGGATTCTTGTGAAATTTACATTAAGTAACTCCGGATGTACTCGAATGATCTCCTGTTGAACGACGTAAGTTCAACGATCATTGTATTGAATCTAGCTTTAACAAGTATTAGCTTTCCTAAAAAACTTGTCTGACTTGAGCAAACTTATTTTTACGCGAAGAATCAAGAAAAGTTAAATCCTGTGTAATCAACATGACTCTGAGTCATGAAATGAATTAGTTTGTTAAGAAACAAAAAAAGTTCAATTCTGTGGCATCAACATAAAATAAAACTTGGACATGAATTTATTCAATATAGTACACTGCATTACTCGTAATTTCTTTCTTTTCATGGATATAAGGGGTGGGGACCGTGCCCCTGATAATTTTGCCGATTTATATATATATAGCTATTTTATGTTTGTGTCCCTAACCCCTAAATCATGTAAATATTAACTTCTGAAAACTTTTTATATGCTCTATACGGAATTTTTCCTTTATAGTGTTCATCCTAAACTGAAAATTTCTGAAATTTCGTCCAGCGGGCCTGTTCATGGATACAAAGATATAACCAATGCTTTTGAAAGAAAAAGTTACAACACGAAAAATCTAAACATCAATTGGTGAACAATTTTGTTAATTAAGAAATGTTTTATTAAAAAAAAAAAGATGAACATGTTACAAATGAGCTAACATCTTTGCATTTAAGCAAAAGAATATTCAACATCTGTCCTTCATTTTGATATTTTTTTTAACTATGAATAAATCACACGTCTGCAAGTTATGAATATGTGTAGATTTATAGAAATTCTAAAGATAGAGAGAATTAGTATGCATTGAAAATAAACATCCATTAGTTAATCTGATAAAGACAATCGACAAGTGTTGACCTGACCAGCTTCATTCCTTCTGTTTTGCTGGACATGAATGATGCATTCGAGAATGGCCGAATGTTATGTAATGTGTAATGTATAATGTGATAATAATAACATCAGCTCCAAAGCTCTGGCTTGTTTGGGTGTTTACCATGTTTCCTTTACTCAGCATGCACTCCAATTGATAAGTTATCACAAGAATTCTATTGATAGACTTGACCAACAAGCCTTGGCTAAATCTAGTACTGTCTGACGCCATGACGTCAGACAATAAGGTACCAATTTTAATACACAAGATGCGCAACTCATATGGAAGTTTACATTTATTCTCATACATGTGATTCTTCCGGCGGGAGACAAAATCTCCCGATATTTCACCCCCCTTCCGCCCCTCCCGATTAATTTTTAAATCTTCCGTGTTTTAAAATTCTTCAAATTAAATATTATTTGCAATATTTTTTTGATCGTGTTGCATATAATTGCTCAGAATGAAAAGAAATTGAGATAACAATGCCAGTGCAATAAATTTTCACAGCGGTAGGCTTCGTAGGAATCAACATGAGGTCGTATAATTATGTTGTAAAAATAAGTGATCTTTCAACTTGACAAAAGACCATTGATGTTTATTACTGAATGCAAAACGTAATTAGTTTCTAAAATACCCAGTTGCCATCTTCTAATGCTGCTTTGGTCATTAAAAGATACAGTTATAATGTAGGTCACACTCTAGTTAAAAATAGATCACACTACAGGGTGTTACTAAAATATACCTGACTCTAATTTGTTAATTTTTTAGAGGGTACTTTTTTCATCTGACATATTCTTTTTAAAAACAAATTACTGACATAGAATTTGTTACATAAAATCTAGCTATGTTTTACTTCACTTACTAGTTGATATATCAATACTAAATCAAAAATAAAATTTTATCCAATGTTTTAATGATGCTTTTAACTCTTAATTAATTTACTAGGAAATGAGTTGATTTCATTTTGAATACTCTATTTCACTTCATTTGAATAAAAACTTTATATCATATTTTTCTTAAAACTAGACAACAACTTTATAAAATAAAATTTGTAAAGTAATAAACTGGGAGAGGGTATTTTTTCCTGAATTTTGGGGGTTGGATGGTCTTTGCGATTTGAAAAAATGTCGATAAAAAATCTCCAGCTTTGAGACCCAAACTCCAGCTGAAAAATTTCAAATCTCCAGTTGTGATTTTTCAGTTCTGTCACATGTATGTATTCTGAACTTTTGAAATGTACAAATCTCTCTCTCTTCTCTCTCTCTCTGACTTCATTCTGAAGAGTTTGCTATTTACCAAACAAATTAAAGTGTACCTGTGAATAGATGAAAATAATTTGTTCTTGAATGAACATGGCAAAATTTTCCTTTCAATGACGTAGAAGAATAACGCAATGCATTGCAATTAATATAATATCCTTGCAAGAAAAATGCACTGACCGTTAACATTGAAAATTCATTTCAATGTTAATAGGTAACACATTAGTTTTGTCGTTGTACTTACGTCGTTCAAAGGGAGATCAAGGGAAATCAACATTACTTTTTGTGTATATTTTTTTAACTACACCGAACATGTGTGTTCCCTCAAACCATCTTAAATTCCTACAAAAATGCATTGTCAAACAATTCTAAGAATAAGTTTTATTCAAAATATTTAGATTCTACACAATTAACTCAGTCATTTTTCTGATTTCTACGGGTAACACAGTACTTTGAAAAAAGGAAAATATCTTAGGATTTAAATAACTTAAGCTAAAATAAAAAAATATATCAATACTTTAAACTTAAAATGTGCACAACTAATTTGATGAAGCGCATTTGGTGCACAGGACGCATTTGCAGTACTATGCATGGATGGAAAGATATATGAATGTGCATGGGCCTTTAACCTGAAACAAGCAGATTTTTTTGTTTGAATAACCTTGATATATTATCACACCTCACCCTCCAGAAATCTCAAATTTATACTTATTTCACAAATGCCTAGCTGTATTCTTGTGAAATTTGCATAATGTAACTCTGGATGTACTCAAATGATCTCCCTTTGAACGACGTAAGTACATTGGAATGAATCTAATATTAAGAGAAAGTGTTCAGTGAAGAGAGGAGAGTTCTTGTTGCAGAAAGAATAATATAAAAATTACCTTATATTAAATCCATCATAACAGGTAGAAATCGGGTACTTTATTCTTCATTTATTGTCTGATACAAGCAGATTTTCTTGGTTGAATAACCTTGATATATTATCGCATCTCCACCCTCTAGAAATCTCTAATTTATACTTATCTCTCAAATACTTAGCTGTATTCTTGTGAAATCATAACAGGTAGAAATTAGGTACTTTATTCTTCGTGGACTAAATTAGTCAAAATTATTAGACTTTTACTGTTGATGCATTTTAATTCTTACAGATAGTACATTGTCAGTAAAGGAAAACAATGTAATTTTTTAAATAAAATATATTTTACTATGAACTTAGACAAAAGTGTTAATTTCAATAATAAGTAAGTCCATCAAACTTCTCAAAATGTAAATAATATAAATATATTTAGTCAAAGGTGTTTATTTCAGTACAAGTAAGTCCTTCAAACTTCTCAAAATGTAAATAATATACGGTACCAATTTTGATGCACCAGATGCGCAACTAATTTGGAAGTTTATATCAATTCTGAACTTTTGAGATGTACAAATCTCTCTCTCTCTCTCTCTCTCTCTCTCTCTCTTCATTCTAAAGAGTTTGCTATTTACCAACCAAATTAAAGTGTATATGTGAATAAATGAAAATAATTTGTTCTAGAATGAATATGGCAAACTTTAAGTGATTTCCCTTTGAATTACGTAGAAGTATAATGCAATGCATTGCAATGAATCTAACATCCATGCAAGAAAAATACGATGACTGTTAACATTGAAAATTCATTTATCTACGAAAGTCTAGGGAGGAGTCGGAACTTGGGAAGAACTTTCACACCTTCGACAGATAGCAGTGAACAGTTACTGGTCACATGATGATTAGAGTTCAGCTTACAAAACAGTTAATTTTCAAGGACTGTAACAACGACCTTGTATTAGATTCTCCACAACAGAAGGAAATCAGAAACATTACTTTTTGTGTATATTTTTTTAACTACACTGAACATGTGTAATTTGTTCCCTCAAACCATTTACACTGCTATATCCTAATTCCTACAAAAATGCATTGTCAAACAATTCTAAGAATAAGTTTTATTCAAAATATTTAGATTCTACTCAATTAACTCCGTCAATTTTCTGATTTCTACAGGTAACACATTAATTTGAAAAAAAGGAAATATCTTAGGATTTAAATATCAAAACTTGGAACGTAAAATGAGCACAACTAATTTGATGAAGCTCATTTGATGCACAGGGTACATTTGCAGTACTTATGCATGGATGGACAGATGCATGTAAGTTCATGGACCTTCATTGCCTGAAACAAGCAGATTTTTTATTTGAATAACCTTGAGATATTATCCCAACTCCACCCTCTAGAAATCTCCAATTTATACTTATCTCTCAAATGCTTAGCTGTATTCTTGTGAAATTTGCATAATGTAACTCTGGATGTACTCAAATGATCTCCCTTTGAACGACGTAAGTACAACGATCATTGGAATGAATCTAACATTAATGAAAGGGCTCAGTGATGAGAAGAGAGTTCTTCTTGCAAAACAAATAATGTTCAAATACTGTAAAAAAAAAATCCATCATAACAGGTAGGAATTGGGTACTTTATTCTACGTGGACTAAATTAATCAAATTTATTAGGCTTTTACTGTTAATGCATTTTAATTCTTACATATAGTACATTGTCAGTAAAGGAAAACAAAATGATTTTTTTAATAAAATATATTTTACAATGCACTTAATCAAAAGTGTTTATTTCAATACTAAGTAAGTCCTTCAAACTTCTCAAAATGTAAATAATATACGGTACCAATTTTTATGCACCAGATGCGCAACTAATATGGAAGTTCATATCTATTCTGAACGTTTGAGATGTATCAAATTCTCTTTCTCTCTCTGATTTCATTCTTGAAAGTTTTCTATTTACCAAACAAATTAAAGTGTATATTTTGAACAAATGAAAAGAATTTGTTCTAGAATAAACATGGCAACCTTCCAGTGATATCCCTTTGAATGATGTAGACGTAAAATGGCAATGTATTGCGATGAATCTAATATCCATGCCAAAAAAATGCAATGACCGTTAACATAGAAAAATTTACCTACGCAAGTCTAAGGAGGAGTCGGTAAATGCTTTCACACTTTCGATTGATGGCGGTGAACGGTTACTGGTCACGTGATGAATAGAGTTCATCTCACAAAAAGTTAATTTTCAAGGACTGCAACAATTACCTTGTATTAGATTCTTCACAACAGAAAGAAATCGGAAACATAACTCTTTGTGTATATCTTTTAACTACACTGAACATGTGTAATTTGTTCTCTCAAACCATTTCCATTGCTATATCCTACAAAAATGCATCAACAAACAATTCTAAGAATAAGTTTTATTCAAAATATTTAGATCCTACATATTAACTCAGTCAATCTTCTGATTTCTACGGGTAACACATTACTTTGAAAATAGGAAAATATTTTAGGATTTAGATATCTGAAGCTAAAAGAAAATAATATCAATACTTGAAACTTAAGGAGGCTGGGGGTCAACAAATTAACCGCAAATTAACCACCAGATTTAACTTAATTTTTTAGATATGATATCTTAAGCTGTCAACTATCATTTGGCAAAGAAAAATTTCAAAAATTTTAGTTTTAAAATTTGATCATTTTCTATATTTTCATATGGAGCTCTTCTTCTAAAGGAGATCAATATAGTCTAAAAATGGCCACAACCCCCAGCCTCTTTAAAACTAATTTGATGAAGCTCATTTGATGCACAAGATACATTTGCAGTACTTATGCATGGATGGACAGATACATGTAAGTTCATGGACCTTCATTGCCTGAAACAAGCAGATTTTTTTTTGTTTGAATAACCTTGATATATTATCCCACCTCCACCCTCCAGAAATCTCCAATTTATACTTATCTCTCAAATGCTTAGCTGTATTCTTGTGAAATTTGCATAGTGTAACTCTGGATGTACTCAAATGATCTCCCTTTGAACGACGTAAGTACAACGATCGTTGGAACTTAACATTGAAATTAACTGTTAATTTTACATGTAACACATTAGGTTGAAGAAATTAATTAATAATTAGATGAAACAGATTTGTGCACAAGTTACATTAATTTTGCAGTGCTATGCATGGATGCGCAGATCCACGAAGGTGCATGAATCTTTCTTGCTTGAAACAAGTAGAAGATTTGTAACGGTATTTTGTTATGTATCATGCTATTAGTTACAAATATGTATGGCTTATATCACCCTGAGTACTTTGAATCCTTGATCTCAACTTGCAATAATTCTGGATATTTTATTTTTTATTTGAAAATCGGCCTAATTAATTAAAATATTCAGTGAAAATATTCAGCTTCTCATCCTTTTTCTTTCTATATTTGAAATATTTATTCTTATTTAAAATATGAGATGGGAATCAATTTTATTAAAAATGAACAGAACACCGGATAAAATGACTGCAAAGAAGTAATTGAAATTTAATTGAATGCATCCAATTACACAAAGTTCTGAAAAGTAATACAATATATTACGACAACATTCAGTTAAAAAATCTTCAATGGCGAATTACTCTCATTTATTTTTATAATTATAAATCTCGCCCGATAACAATTACCCTTTTTTAATTATCCCGTCCCCGATGATGTTCAATTTATTCCCTCAAACCACTTAGTGGCAGATGAGATTCTATGTACAATATATACAAAGACAATATGAAAGACACACGTGAAATAGGGGAATGCATGCAAGTTAGGTAAACAAAAATAATTATGGAGGACAGAATTGTTCATATACTTTAGATATGCAATTACACAATGTAATTAATACACTGGAGTCAGCAGTTGAAAATAATTCTGAAAATTTGGTCTATTACAATATTTTTGGGTGGATGCTTTTTCTGGCATTATGAAAAAAATTGACATTCTAGAATATAGTGATACTCATCTGCTATTTGTCCCTTATTACAGATAGTACAAAGTCTATCATTTTGGGGGATTCAAATTGATGATGAAAACAAAAATTGAAATTTGTTCACGTGATTTTACATGTAATTTTAATAAATACATTATTATCAGTGGAAAGAATTTAAAATTAACAAATGATTAAAATGTTATATTTTCATCCCCAAAAAGGCTGTTTTTTGAATTTTCAGGGTTTAAGTGAGGACTTAAATGCGTTGAAAACTGAAGTCCCTTCGTTTTATTTTTTGTTAAGAACGTAGGGGTTAATTTTAATTAGACCTTTCCACGTCTGAAAGACATTGTGTCCTTATCTATATTTGCTACAGAATGCCTTCTTATCTGTTAGATAAATATTGGATCGAATTGGTTAAATTCATAATATCGGGGAAGAAAATGTGGATATGTGCAGGTTATTTTGGACTGTTTAGTTCATATCTAACATTAGACAGAATTGTGTCCATTTTTCTACTAGTATTTTAAATTTGCAGATGTTTTTGATTTGAATTCTGAAAAGTTTTCATTGTTTGTTTATTTTTTGTTACTTTCTTCGTTCCCCTTTATGGGGGGGGGGGGTGTTTTGTTTGCTTTGGTTGTGTTTTGTTTTGTTTGTTTGTTTTATTTTTGGTTTTTGCTTTGTTTTTCGGGGGAACGGAGTGTTTTCTTGTTTCTTCTTTTTCCATAAATATTTTCTTTATACACAGCTCTGAGTTTGAACCTGTTCCTAGGGGTGTACTCTTGGGTGAATGATTACGATAGACCTTTCACCTTCAAGTGTCCTCAGCACCAGTCCATCAACCGTGTCGTCAGTCACCATGACAACGGAGCTGAAGATCGAGTATTCGACTTCCAGTGCAGCAAGTACACAGCTGCTTCTGAGAGTTGTTTCTGGTCAGGTAATAAAGGTCATAGTACGTTATTAATAATCAATTTTCACTGCCTTGATTCCAAGTGATTTAATGCTTTTAATTCTTTATAATAAGCGTTTTCTATCATTAATAAGATTTAAGTTCAGAAAGTGATGGAATACTGAGACCAGTAACACTTTCATATTCAAAATAAAACAAAATTTGCATGATGTGTTTGTATAACAATATTATATAAACTTGCAACCTTTTAAACAAGCTTGTAAAGTAAAAACAATCATATTCAAAATCTAGATTTTGACTTAAGTTTGTTTTTGGTTTATGGACTTTGTCATATTTGTGATGTATATCATTCTAAATGATTGTGTTATTAAAAGACATGATTAATGAAGAGGCCTACGTTTACATTAATTTTTGAAATGACTGGCTTGTCATAAAAATGTCAACTATCAAAAAAAAAATGTTTTTAAAAATACTTGGGTGTCTCATTTTTTTTTCAAAGTTGAAAGCTGTAATAATTCACTGCACTTTCTCCTGATGAAATTTAATGCACACTTCAGGTAAACTTAGATCTTTTTTTTTTTTTTTTTTTTTTTTTTTAAAAAAGCACACATTTGCACTGATAGAACAGAAGGATCGAATATAATTTATGACAATAAATTTAAGAGTAATTTTTTAATCAAGCAAAATTTTGTATATGAAGTTTTATTGTTTATATTGCAGTGACATTATATGTGCAATAAATCTACATAAATGCTGTTTCTGAGGTCACCTTCGAAGTCAATATTCACCTCGCCCTTAGGGCTCAGTGAATATTGTACTCCTCAGTTGTCTATATCATCGTATTTACTGAAAAAAACCAGCAATAATTGTTTTATCATATGATTCAATGATTAAAAGATATAAACTTGTTCAGCAATTCATACCATCTTTTTACATTTTTTTTTTTTTTTTACATTTGTTGACGTTCTAGCCAAATGCAACGAGAGAAGATGGTTTAAAGTAAACATAGCCATTTGCATTAATTGGGTTTTATTTAATCTATTTTAGGTGTGATGCAGTTATCGGGGGGGGGGGGCTTTCAATTATCATTTTCATACTAAATTAAATGAAATTTTGCATTCAGAAAAAAGTGTGGGGAGGTGTCATGTTGTAAATTTTGAATTTACCGGGTAGCAGAGTAAATACAAAATTGTTATCCCATCCCCACCCCAGCCCCGATTCTTTCTGTCTGAATATTATGCTCAACGTCTACAATGTTGGATCTCAGCCAATCAGAGAGCTAGAAATTATTCAATACATTAAATGATAAAATTTCTTTTCATTCTTTTACATGTAAATAGGTTTGTACATACATTTCTTACATTCATGTACCTCATGGCCCTAGTGAAAAACAAGTTTCAAAGCTTCGTGGAAGATGTATTTATTTTTTGTTTTTTCCTTAGATTATATTAACGACTTTGACAAACCAGTAGCATTCCAGTGCCCAAATGGCGGTGTTTTAGACGGCGTCTCCAGTTTCCATGACAACGGGCCTGAAGATCGGCGCTTTCGCTTCTACTGCTGCGAAAAACCAGGTTCCTATTACAAGACGAAGTTTCCAAGTATTTGTTCATACAAAAAGGATATTCATTTATGTAGGAAATAATAACTTTTTTTCTTCTTTTAGGAATGTGTCTCTACAATTGCTACTACAGCGGTTGGGTCAATAGTTATGACGGGGATGTTGATTACACGGTACCCGCCGGTCACGTGATGAGAGGGTGGATTAGTATCCATGACAACGGTGCAGAGTAAGCTGTTCGGTTTGGTTTGAACAAATTTTATTGAAATTTCTAATTACAAAGGGATTGGGCACAATTTATAAAAACTTATAACGCCCTCTTTATCGATAATTTACGGATTTAAGGGCGTTTACTCAAAGTTTGCACTCCCCAAATTCTGACGATTTTTTCCCAATTATAAAGTATGCGTAGTCCTTTTAAAGGGATTTAAATATAATATGCAACTAAAATACATGTACAGCATCACAACCCATTAAAACTTAGTTAAGTTTTGTTTTAATTGTTTGGAACCGTCCCCTATACATGTCCTTTGGTCTTGTCACTGGTTTTAATGGAAATATCTTAAATTTTAGAGACAGGATCTTTGACTTTGAAGTATGTTTGATGCAGACCTGCATTGACGCGTATGTATATAAATGTGTTGTTTATTTTCGTTTATTAGATTTAAAATGCATATGCAATTTATTTTCTTTAAACGTATTTATAACGGATACTTACTTATCTTTTAGAAATCCGGGTGGTGATGTTGTTGGAAAAAGAGCTGTAAATAATACCAGCAATTCCCAATATTTACATAAATAAATGTTGAGTTGTCTTGATCCTTAACCTATAGCACCATACATACTAGGCCTATTGTCCTGAGGAAAAGGATTTTCTTGTGGTTCACATCTTTCATTATTATAATAAAGATTGAATTATTTATAGCCTTTTTATGTGTAATTTTAATGGGTTTGCGAGGGGTGATTTAATTTTCAATTTAATGATGTTTGTATCTTCTAATATTTCACTTTCTGCTTTGAATGTTGGCATTTGGAGCAATATGAACTGAATAAAAGATGTTATTATGGTTCATGTTTGGATGGAAAGATTATATACACACTTGTATATAAAGTTATTATTTACTTGGCTAATGCATATATTATGTACATGTATTATGACCATTATGTATACATGATCAAACAAAAAATAATGCTATATATACCCGTTTAAATTAATAAGTTAACCCAAAAGAGTATTGTGCTGTATTGAACGATTCTCTCTGGCAAATTGGTTAATTTGATTATATTTTTGACTTACACATTGGGTAGGTTTGAATACATATTTTTAGGCATAGTTGCTCTTTTCCCCCAAAAAGTATAATAACTTGTTTTCGTGGGTTTAACTCTTCCTTGTTTGAAGATTTTTTTTTTTTGGGGGGGGGGGTCGTGGGAATTTGTTTTCATGGTTTAATAAGTCGAGTTGTTTGTATTGGAGTTTTAATATTTCGTGGTGGACATGGATTCATGGGTCTCGTCATACCACGGAAACAACAAACTTAAACCCCTGCGAAAATAAGTAATTTCACAGTATTTCGAAGTCAAATTTCTAAATCCTGTAGGTGTCTAACCTTTATACTAGGACAGAAGGAGCTGGTGCATTACCGGTATGATACTGATCAATACTTCTTAAAAGGACATTCCTTATTTTAAGGCAATCTTTTGATTCCCAAGTGATGTTAGAAAAAAAATTTATTGCAATTAACCCTTGCTGAGCAGAAAAGATTATGCAAAACGCTTTTGTTTGTTGCTACAAAACAAGTTACATGTAATTTAGATCACATTTACACTTTGTAATTAGATGAACTCCTGAACATGACGACAAGCTTTTTTATTGTTTATTGCATTGGAACAAAATTGATGCAGTATATTTACTTTAAATAATATAACTGAAGAACAGTTCCCTTGAAGGGCCCTCTGTTATCTGGAATGATTTTGACCATTTATTTCCAAATTCAGGGGTCAAGTTATTATCAAGCAGCATTGTTAAGTCATCTTACATTTGATATATTTTAAAAACTGATTTACAATCGATTTTTGGTTAAAAATACCAGTCCATCTGATTCTATACACAAATACTCTGAAGATGCTGGAGTTCCTCATTGACATCATTTATGTAGTTTTTGAGACCAGATCTTCCAATAGTCTGTTGAAATTCCGATGGGTCTAAATATTAGCTGACCCGTTTTTATTTTCTCATGAAGTAGAATTTATTCAAAAACTGCTACATGAGAAAAAGACACTCTTCTGTGGCTTGCATTGATATACTAGCTTGACATTTTTGGCTGCTTTTGACCAGGTTTTGGATGCCAATCAACCCTTTTACGGGTTATCGAAGACTGGAATCATGCCCTTGATAACAACGAATACATAGCTGCGATATTGATGGATTTATCAAAGGCTTTTGATTGCCTTCCTCATGATCTGCTCCTTCTAAAACTTAAAGCATATGGTCTGTTCAATCCAGCATTAGATTTGTTAAACAGTTATCTATCAAATAGAAAACAATGTGTTAAAATTGGTTCTCATTTAAGTGAAATGCTGGATATTCTGAAAGGTGTACCTCAGGGATCCATTCTTGGACCTGTATTTTTCAATATCTTCATTAATGACCTGTTCTTTTTTAAAAACTGTACCCTCTATGATTATGCAGATGACAATACTCTAGCAAAATCTCACAAAACATTACAAAATGTTATAAATTCCTTACAGGAGGACAGTTTATCCCTTATTAAATGGTTATCAATTAATAAAATGAAGGCAAATCCTGGAAAATTTCAAGCAATTGCAGTTGGGTCCAAAACACAAAAACAACAAATATCTTTTAACTTGGAAAATGTTATCATCAAATGTGAAGATGAAGTTAAACTTTTAGGAATTACAATTGATTTTAAACTAAATTTTAATACTCATATCTCAGAGATGTGTAAGAAGGCAGCAAGACAACTAAATGTTTTGAAACGGATTGGGAAATACTTGAATAGATTGGGAAAGCTTACCATATATCATAGTTTTATTATGTCGGATTTTAGCTAATGCCCCTTGACTTGGCATTTCTGTAGTGAGAAAAATACTCAAAAAATTGAGAAAGTTCAGTTAAGAGCGTTGCGTTTTATTTATAATGACTATAAAAGTTCATATGAACAATTATTGGAAAGATCCAAATTGCCCTCTCTAAAGACTAGAAGAATGAGATTGCTGGCATTAAAAACATTTAAAATTATTAATAAAAAGGGTCCAGTCTTTCTCCAAGATCTGGTTATAATTAGAGAAAATTCATATAATTTTAGGTATTCTAAAGCCGCAGATATTCCTAGACCAAAAACTACAAGGTATGGAAAAGGTTCTTTCAGATATGAGGCAGCAAGGATATGGAATACTCTTCCTAATGATATTCGAAACACAACATCCTTTAATTTATTTAAAAACTATATATCTACTTGGTGTGGAAATCAGACATGTAAATGTAGTTTATGTAAACACTAGTCCATGCTGCATATGTCTGAGAAGCCTTTTTAAGTGTTCATCTGTGGTGTATCTTTTTATTTCTAATATGAATTTGTTTTATATTTTGTTTTGTTTTATTTTCCTGTTCTGTGATTGTCCATATGCATGCTAGTCATATGTGTAGTTACTATCTGTGTTGCTTTCCCTGTGTTTTCAGTTTTTCTCTTCTGTCGGTGCTAGTAAATGTGCTATGCATATGATTGTACTTACTTGTGATAGTCATACATGTCAATGTTATTTGTGCTCCTTTGCTTATTTTAGTTTTTATTCTTTCCATTAGCATGATCAGTGATAGTAAATGTGTGTTCTGTATTGTGCTTTGTCAGATTCTTTCTTACTTGTGATAGTTATACATGTGCATTACAATTTCTGCTGTTATTGCTAGTATATGTGCTTATTTCCTATGGTTTATTTAAATTATGTTTTTTTACTAACTATGTATACTTTTACTAACTTTTATCTATGTAAATTTGTTAAAGTCGGTTAAAGAGCTATCATAGCTCATGTTATACTGTATATATATGCCGACTATAAATAAAATTTACTTGACTTGACTTGACATTGAGATACTAGTTAATCGACTTTTTAACACTTAACAATAGTTACTTTCATTCATATGTCGACTCAAAATATCATGAAAGACACTACAGAGTCTGCTACACCTGTTTCATGTTTGGATGTTTAACTGACTATAAACGATAAGGGCCAACTGAAAACTCAGCTGTATGATTGGCAAGTTGATGTTACAGGAATTTAAACTGCCTGGTTTAGAGTCTGCATTTCGCAAATTCTTGGCCGTTATAATGACCTTGTTTGGACTATCGTTCGGTCGTATTTTGACGTTAGGTGATTGTTTTCATACTTAAGAATTTACTCCGTCTAACTGGTCGATTCATAGGGCGTACGGCGGGTGTGAGTGGTCGACAGGGGATGCTTACTCCTCATAGGCACCTGATCCCACCCTGTGTGATGTTTCCAGGGGTCTGTACGTGCTTACGTCCTACTTGTCATTTATAATCTTTGCTGGATTTGTAAGATAGATTACTTTTTGTTATCTTAAACCTTTACATTCTGAGAGACCAGTTGATACTTTGTCAATTATAATGATTGGCTCAAGTAAAAGTTAAGGAGATACCTATTGGACGTAAATTTTCCCAGGTTTTGAATAGGTAAATAATGGCCCTACATGTAGTTTCAATGCAGGTGAACTGCATTGTTTTCACTGGTATTTTTGTTGTATTTTTAAAATGATCAGACTTTATAATTATGCTGAAGATGTTAATTCTGAATCCAGATTCAATAGTAGGGGGTTTGGAAAGTCCTTTTGTATTGTGTAAATTGAATTAGTTGATGAGAATGACATTTGCAAATAATTGATATTACATTTACATGTAATTTATATTCATTGTACCAGTATGGCAATGTGTGACTAAATGATTCACAACTAATTTGAAATAACGTAAAGGCTAGGCTCTCCTCATCAAAATACAATATTAAATCAAAACATTCTCAATATATATAATTCAATCTGCAATTTCACAATATGAACGACTTTTTCTGTACTAGTACAATGTATCTCTATTCTGTTTTTACTACAATTCTTCCATGATTAACCTCTCGGGAAAGTTGTATCAATAGCAAACTCACCACTGAATCTGACGGAGAGTTCTAGTGTCCTTTCTGACATATTTTATTTCATCAATTTTATCAAATAAACTCTGCAATATGACTACTTTAAGTATAGTCATATTGCAGAGTTTATTTGATAAAATAAAATGTGTCAGAAAGGACACTAGTTTTGCTGCATGGTTCTCACGAAAATTAGGCATCAATTTGACCTTAACGCTGGACAACCTTTTATTTTACTTCTTGACATGAATAGCATGTTGAGTACGAGTGTCACAGGTTTTTAACCTGACAGGTAATAATTTTAGTCCCTGTTAGAAAAAATATTTAGAAATGTGGAATTTTTGGAGATCATATTTTACCATAAGCCCATATTTGGGAGGTACCTCTTAAAATATATAAGATTATGTCAATAATGTAGCTTCTGTATATACTATATACTAATGAAACGGTTATAAGGAACCCACAGATTTTACCATTCCTGCGTATCAGATGCTTTCTTTGCCGGTGTAAAGACGAATAATGACCCCCGTAGAATTATGACCGGGGGTCATTTTCCGACGTTGAAAAATGACTCCCGGTCATAATTCGACGTAGAAAAATGACCCCCGGTCATTATTCGACGTAGAAAAATGACCCTTTCGCCCGTAGAAAAAGTGGCATCACCCTTAA